TTATTATTATTATTATTATTCATATTTTGTCCCACTTCCAGCCATGGGCAATGATGATATGTTATTTAAATTATTTGTTTGATTTTTTTAACCTACATCACTATTTGAGTGTTTTATTTTTAATTGTATGTATAAATTCCTGCTGTCAATAGGTCACAGCACAGGTGGTTTTTATATTGCATTTCAGATTCATGCTGCTTGGCTACTTTGCCAAAATTATGTGTTTAAATATACCACGCGAGATAAGGATCTTAATTCCTGATAATATGCATTTACTGTTGATTTTGAATATTTTCTTCTCCTCTACTGCTATATCTATATCAAAGAAAAAGTGACAAAGAAAGGAAAATATTCCAATTGGAAACTAGTGATCATGTCCATCATTTATCACTATTTTCTATTTTCCGTTTTAACGTTTAGTTTTTAGCTGCAAGCTGTAAATTACTACTTGTTGGGTGTTAGGTAAGGATGTGACTGTGTGGAGGACACTGCAGTTTTCTCACTTGTCCTACGTTTTGTTTCGTTTTGTTTCTCAAAAAAAATGTTTTCTGTTTCATCAGCATGACTTAATCAGTAGATGAAGAGTCGTTGATTGGCTAGAATATTTTTGTAATGATGGTAGCCATATGATGACATAATCATTTAATTATCAAGGTAAAATTGGTTAGAAGTTGGCAATTCGTAAACAAGCTGTTAAACTTATGTGTGTACTCCAGACCCTCAAAGAAAAGATCCATCTATTTTGTTGAAGTTCTGTAATTTGAATTACCTTTCCTGATTTTAGTTGTTTGTTTTCCTGTGCGGGTTTTGTTATTGAGGAAGAACATCAAATGGGTTGCTTAAGTGCAGTCTGAATATGGATGAAATGAAGGGATTTCATCGTAAGTCAGCTGACATTTTTGCCAGCAGGTTCGTCAATCTTAGGTTGTTGTGGGTTCAATATTGTTTTGAAAAATATGACGAACTAACTATTGTGAGTTGACTGACGAAACAAAAAAAAAGTTAACACTCTTTTTAAAAAGGAACAAAACATTTTCTAAAAAGGAAAAAAAAACCCAACCCCAACTAGACTTTAATTACGGAATGAAATACTTAAGGTAGATTTCAAATTTACATTCGTTGGCCTATTTGTTTTGGTAACTCATTCCCTCAAATCTCCTGTACTTTCTGAGTGCTGTGGTAACTTTTCTTCATTGCCTTTGTCCACAGGTCTGAAAGTGATTGGTGGAAAAGTGTCGGACTCTGGTAAGCTCGGTGCCTTCATTACCAAAGTCAAGAAAGGAAGCATAGCAGACACCGTGGGGCACCTGAGGCCAGGTAGGGACTTCTCTCCATGCTCGTCATTTGCTCTATTGCTGACGGTGGTTTTCTTTTTTCTTTTTATAGATTGCGATGAAGTGAAAATGAAGAAAATATATGTGTCGTACACTCTATGCTTGTCATTTTGCTCTACTGCTTTAATGGGGTTTTTTTAATTTTCATAAATTGTGATGAAGTGAAAATGAAGAAGATAGGTACAACTTCACTCTTTGCTCATCATTCGTTCTATTGCTGATAGTGGTTTACAAGTTTGTTTTTATAGATTGCGATAAAGTGTAAATGAAGAAGATAATATGTTGTACACTCTTGGCTCGTCATTGGCTCTATTGCTTTAGAGGTTTATTTTTTTAATTATATAGATTGCGATAAAGTGAGAATGAAGAAGATATGTCGTACACTCTATGCTCATCATTCGCTCTATTGCTGATAGTGGTTTACAGGTTTATTTTTATAGATTGCGATAAAGTGTAAATGAAGAAGATAATATGTTGTACACTCTCTGCTCGTCATTGGCTCTATTGCTAAAGGTGGTTTATTTTCTTATTTTTATAGATTGCGATAAAGTTAACATGTAGAAGATAATATGTAGTACATTCTTTGCTCATCGTTTGCTTTTTATAGCTTTGATGGTTTCCTGGAGGTTTTTTTAATTGATTGTGGTATAATGTAAAAATGAAGAAGATAACTCAATAGAATGTTAATTAATGCTATTGATCCCCATAAGGAAAATTGGTTTACAATAGCATACTTAGTGTATACAATCAATACGTATTATGTTCTGCGTTGGGGATCAGGGTTTTTTTTAAGACTTTTTATTCCAGCTATGACCTACTTTCATTTTGTATGGAAAGTTAGAAGACATTCTCATGCTAGGTGTAAATTATGAAATATTCTAATTTATAATTATTCAATACGAAGCACAGGAGAACACTTTTAGAAAAAAAGGGTTTTCCCTCTCTCTTCCCGTTTTTCCATCATTTGAGAGTAGCCACGAGACCAGCTTGCTTGACACGGTTTCATTGTCCGTAGATTGTTTCTTTCTTAGAGTTCTAGGATTATCTTGGAGATGTTTTGTTTTTTCATGCTCGATGTAAATTATTTGAAATAACTGTAATTAATACGAAGCACAAAAAACCACTTTTTAAAAACTCAACTGTTTTTCCCCTCCTCCTTTCTTTGTATCAGCTGAGAGGAGCCACAACACCAGCTTATTGCTTGACACGGTTTCATTGTTCGTAGGTTGTGTCTTTAATTCTAAGTTCTGTGATTATCTTTGGGGTTATTTTTGGTTTCTTCTCCAGGCGATGAGGTGGTGGAGTGGAACGGGAGGTCTTTACAAGGCGCCACGTTCGATGAGGTTTATGATATTATTCTCGAGTCCAAACAGGAACCACAGGTGGAGCTGATAGTACACAGGAGTGCCAAGTGAGTCGGTAGTTGATGACGGAGTGATTATAATAGATACCATTGGAAGAGCACTGGGGAAAAACGATGGTAGTCCCAAACTGGAAATTGTGAGGGTGCCAATTTTAAAAGCTTGTGGACTCATGACTTCATATTTGTTAAATGTTGTTGAATGGAAAATCTAACAGTAATAATCAACCAACAGTTGAACCGAAAAACAGTTATGAGTCAACAAGCATTCAAAATTGGTACCCTCATGATTTTCAGTTTATGACTGTCGTTTGTTAATGTTTGAGTGCTTTGTCAGCTGCTTATACTGTATGCTTCCCCGGAAGCTGAGAATTTTTCTGAGTGTTCTATGGACTGCAGGGATAATAATGGTTGTAAATCACATAGAGCATTCTGTAGAGCCTTGATATCTGGTATATAAATGCAATTATTATTTTTATTATTATTAGTATTATTATTAGTATTATTATTAGTATTATTATTAGTGGTATTATTAGTGGTATTATTATTAGTATTATTATTATTATTATTATTACTATTATTATTATTATTATTATTATTATTACTAGAGCACAAATTCCTGTCATTAGGACACTTTGACTTGCAATGTGATAATAGATAGCATAATTTGTATAGGGCAAGTTTCCACTCAACAGCAAGCTCTATGCGCTTTACAATCTATACTATTACCCCAGTAGACCAGGTAGCATTCTGAAACAATCTCAACTTCCTGGTAAGCATACAGTGCAAACTGCCATTTTTTATAGGAGTTGAAAGACTAACATACTGACAGTGGTACAAAAAGCAGCAAAAGTTAATAATAGTTCACTCCTCTGTGAGCTTTATGATATCGATATTGTGAAAGCAACAAGGAAGATTGTTGGGGACATTAAATACCCTTTAAATTCAGACAATAAGGTATGTTAGCAGTAAACATGATTTCTATATAATATCTTTAAATGCAAGACTCAATATGAATATTCATCAATACAAGCTATTTAGTCATAGTCAAGTGTAAGAGAAAAACATTGTTTTGTATGTCTATTCGATGACTATTTGTGTGTCCATAGTGTGTGTGTATTTGTGTGTGTGTGTATGTGTGTTTGTGTGTGAGAGAGAGATAGAGAGAGAGAGTGAGTGAGAGAGAGAGAGAATGTGTGTGTGTGTGTGTGTGTGTGTGTGTGTGTGTGTGTGTGTGTGAGTGTGTGTGTGTGCGTGTGTGTGTGTGTGTGTGTATGTGTGTTCGTGTGTGCATGCATGATTTCTTTTTTTTTTTTAAATGAGGAAAAGAAAGCTAAATAGCCTACTGATAGTTTGTTTTTTAAAATTTGTGATAACATTCTGAAACAACCAAGTAGGCTATATTTTGCCAAATTTTCATGAAATGCAGGACTTCATCAAAGCTATTTTCAGTGTTTCATTTATCAATGCACTTAGCCTACATATAGAACAGGGGAATCTATACCGTCCAACTAAGATCCAATTTTATCATTATGATACATTATTGGGGCAGGGTGGGCCTTTATATTAATGATAATGTCGAGATTAGTAATAAAGATTATCATCATCATAATTAATTGTAACATTAAAAATGACAAAGTTCAAAGACATTACTCAATTCTTAACATATTTTGTAGTACTTCACTTGTTTCAAAATAGACAGAAAAGAAGGTCTAGTTTTTCATCATTACTCTACTCACTTAGTTAACACTTTGCTGTCACCTGGCGCAATAATGCGCCAGTGAAATTATTCGTTCTGGTCACCTGGCTGCTCCAGGCCAGAGAAGTCTGTTACAGTCACTGTTCTGACTGGGTGACCAGATGGGATATTTTGTACTGCTGGCTGGCTGTGTGTGACTGCAAATTAAAAGTCTGTATTTTGTTTTCATTTTAGAAAATGTTTTGGATTTTTTTCCTTGCAGACATGGAGAAACACCCCCAGGGGTCCAGTCTTCCTTCACTGACCATGCTAGAGGTAATAAACTTGTCTTTGGTGGGGTGCTCTGGTGTGGTGTGCTCCTTCTTTCTCATCAAATGTTTATTGTGAGGCATGCTGACAAAACAAGTTACTTCTCGCAATCCAAAAATGGAGATATCAGCCCAAAACCAACACTAAACCTGGGGTCAGATTTATAGACTTTCAACTGACGCCATTTTCTTCAAGTCTTAACTCGTCGTTTATTATTCCATACAAACAAATTGTGCAGACCCCATCTATGAAGTTTATATATATATATATATATATATATATATATATATATATATATATATATATATATATATATATATTTATATATATATGTATATATATATTTCCCTAAAATCTGAGAAGTTACACATTTTGTCAGCTCACCTCACTATTGTCCTTATCCCGACTGTTTACTGTAAGACTCCACTAAATGTCATTATGAAAAGTAATGTGCGACAGAGTCCTTATACAGTGCAGTGAATATTTCTTATATTCTTTTCTTTATGTATCACTCTCTATGAACATCTAGAACCTTCCGAACTTGTCTGTGGTTGGTGGGTGGGGTGCTTTGGTGTGGTTTGCTGCTTCTTTTTCAGCATCAAACGTCTACTGTCTTTATCTCAACTGTTTAGTGTAAGGCTCCGTGATACGCCATTATGAAAAGTAATGTGTGACAGAGTCTTATACTCACCCCCTGGGTGAAGTGTCTTTAGGCCATTCCCAAAGGGGTGACATTTCTTATTCTAATGCACAGTAGAATTGTAAATGGGCTGATCCAACGTCTGCTGCTTTTTCTTTCCTAATCCTTAGTATTGTCATTTTCTTCTTCTTCTTTTGTATGATTGTCACACTCTTGTGACCGGCTATTTCCGGGGTGCCTTAATAGTCGAAGCAGACTTTGTGCTGTTGAAGCTAGAGAGGTGAACTGAGTAAGTCAGATTCCATGTAAGGACTTCTCTATTGACATCCACTTCTTGGCACTCATATGACCTTATGCAGTTGCAAGCGCCATAAAACTCTACTAAAACAAAACAGAGTCTTATACTTAATAGTGAATATTCCTCCTTCTTTTCTTTGTGTGTTACTCTCTATGAAAATCTTGAACCTTTGGCACCTATATGACTTAGCCTATTTGTGTTGCAAGTGGTGTTAAACTTTAAAAACTAAAACTGAATGACTCGTCCATTTGTACTAAAAATAAATAACATTGCTCAGTAGCACAACTATGAACCACATGGCGTAGTGGATTTTAAGAAATAATATTTTAAATAACTTCTGTGTTCTGAATTCTGTGGTCAGTCATTGAGGGTTGTGGGCCATTTGGGACTAGCTTTAGTTTAAATATATTATAGTGCACACTTTTCTGTCATTCTCGTAGATGTTTATAGTAGAATAACAAGGCTTGCAGAGAGCAGAAAAAGTTACAGCTTTCATGTTGCGGCTGAAGAGCTTGGTAATTACTGATATCCAGTAGCCTACATATTATATAGCTTAAGTTTTAAATTTAATAAACGTTAGAATAAACATCTGATACGCGTGTCATTTTTTTTCCCAGATTACGGGTTGAAAGAAGCCATTCCAGATGTTCAAAGGTCATCTCGACATCCTGTCCCCACACCTCAGCCAAGGTCAAGGTTGCGATCAAGGCCATTGTCTCCCCCCATCACAGGAAAGCTGCAGGTAAACAGCGGAGAATGATTGAGTCTTTGTGTGTCCACTATTACAGAAGAGGTGCTGTCGACTTGTTGTGTGTTTAGAAAGTGATTAGTATAATTACATCGATGTATAAAAGAACAATCTCTTAAATTGCTTATCTGTTTTGACATATGAGTATATCTCTTGACAACAATAAAATAGTACTGATCATATTAATAACAATGGCAATGATAGCAGTAGCCATAATAGTCAGGATTTTTGTATGTAACAACCGTAATCCTCAAAACAATAGACGAAGTAAGTTTGTCGGTGACATTATTCCAACAAAAACATTATTCCCAAAAGAACCATTCTTGAGGAGTTGTAGTCATTTGTATAAAATAAGGTCAGATAAGATAAGAGAACTAGATACACAACCAGTGTTCTTATTGTATTTTGATACCATCCTGATAGAACAGGCTATATTGAACTGTATATCTTAGTTCTGTATGATTCATACCTGGCGAAACTGTGGTACGACGTTCAAAACTATCAATATATCATCTGATACTATCGTGATAGTACAGGCTTTCTAGAACTGTATATGCATCATGACATGGTGGAATCAGGCGCTCTTCCATTTTTGGGCATGTGAAGTTATTGATATCACCCAAAGACTTGTTCGTTTGTCTTACATTCGATGAAAAATATATCCATCTTGAATACAAGTCGAGATATTTGTGAATAAAGGAGGTGGGGATCGACTGGTTTCTACTATAAAATTAACAAGAAAATGGCAGCCAAATCCTGGTTATTCTCATAGTTTGAAAGTCTTTGAAACTGAAATTTTTTTAATTTTTTATGCCCTTATTTAACGATTTTTTGTAAACTCAAAACTGAGTTGTGTTTTTAAATGGACATAAAAGGTGCTTAGTTAGAGCAAAAACAAAAATCAGTAAAAATTGCCAAAGAGGCCGAAAAATGCCTGTTTCTACAATTTCATTATTTTGACGAGCGCCTGATTTCACCATACTCTCTCACACATTATACCTTAATTCTGTCTGCTTTTCACCAGGTGAAACTGTGGTACGACGTTCAAAGCTATCAACTCATCATCACTGTCATCAATGCCATTGACCTTCCTCTGACCGACAACGGCAAGTTCCGTAACCCTTACTGCAAGATCTACTTGTTGCCAGACCGAAGGTATGAGTGGGTGGTTGGTGGGTGCTCTGGTGTGGTTTGCTCATTCTATCCTATCAAACATCTATCATGCTGATCTCTCCTCCTTCTTTTTTGTGTTTGTTACTTTCTTGCATATCTATCTATCTATCTATGTGCACTCAGTTAGCACAATTGGTATCATGCTGGACAAAGTGGGGACATTAACTTGTTCTTATGCACAGTAAAATTTTAATTGTAAATTGGCTGATTCATAAATGTCATACTCATAACTGCCTTTACTGCAACAGGGAACTTCTGCTTTTTCTTTCTTACTAGTCCTTATTGTCATCATTTTTTCCTCTACTTCTTTTGTATGCATGTCACACTCTTGTGACCCGCTATTTCTGGGGTGCCTTGATAGTCGAAGCAGACTTTGTGCTGTTGAAGCTAGAAAGGTGAGCAGAGTAAGCTTGATTCCCTGTAAAGACTTCTCTGTTGACATCCATCCCTTTGGTGCTCATATGACCTTATGCAGTTTCAAGCGCCGTAAAACCTCTACTAAAAAAAATAAACACCACAGATGCTGAGATGCTGCTTGTCTTTACTAACGGACACAGGAGAACAGAGACCACTTGTCAAATATGTGAGATGTGGGCTCTGTAATCTAATATGAGTATACCTTTGAGTGACAGATGATTTTTCAACTAGGAATTTATTTGCATAGCCTACTATTTTTTCCTTTCTGTGAGTATTGGTATAAGTTGTGGTGAAGCCTATCTCTATAGACAAATGTTTTGTTAGCTCAGTAGGTTTCATGCTTGGATATAGTGTGATTGATATATCTTGTTTCAAAACTTCAGCTGAATGTTTTTGAATTTGGATTGTTAAGAAAGTTTTCTTGGCTTTCCTCCAAAATGATTAAGTTGAACAGGAGATGAATGTATTTATCCGTTGTAGCTTCTATGTTAACTCTTTATCTCCGGCAAGCCACTTCCAGCGGCTCGCTGTCGGAACAACCATGCTGGTGAGCCGCCCCAATTCTAATCCAGGGTAAAAAAAAACTTTTGCTCTGTTTGTTTCAGTGCTCATGTGACCTTTTGCACTTGCGAGTACCGTAAAACCTTACTAAAGTAAAAACTACTGTTTGTTTCAGTGAAAAGAGCAAGCGCAGAACAAAGACTGTGGCCAGCACCATCGACCCCACGTGGAATCAAACGTTTATCTACTGCCCTGTCAAAGAGAATGACATGCATGAACGACTGCTGGAGACGACGGTCTGGGACTATGATCGAGTTGGTGCCAGCGAGTTCCTTGGGGAGGTAAGTCTCTTTGTGAGTCCCTGTGTCACTGCAAATATGTGAGGTGTGCCAACAAAATGGGTTACTTCTCAGATTCGAGACCTATGGAAATTATAGATACGCCACGCATATAGGTGAAGTTTTTACAATTTATAAGTATGAAATAATAAAAGGCTTGTTATTGTTAAAGAACATGGCTTCAATAGAAAATCTACAAATTTGACCCCTGTGTCGAAATTTGGCCAATATCTCCATTTGTGGATTGCGAGAAGTAACTCATTTTGTCAGCTCACCCCACATATGTGTGAAAAACATTACAGTTAACTAGGTAAGGATTAAAGGCTCACAATAATGCTTTGACATTTAAAGTTAAATTTTTTAAACTATTCGTGGTTGATCATGTTGTAAACATATAATGTATATATAATAATATGTGATGGTGCCTGGAGAAAGAAGGTCCCAGCAGTCGGCAAAGCTATTTTTGAGCAATGGGGATGAAAAAGTAAAAAAGTTGTATCTGGTCAAAAATTTTGTTCCATCAGAAAAGACTCATTTAACCATTTCTTAATAACATATTGAAGGGATTTTATAATATTTCTAGTCTGAATATTTTATTATTAAATATTTTTTCAATATGTTGTACCTAACCAATCATTAAAAATGTGCTAGACATTGGGTCAACATTCTAAGGTTATAATCGCTTTTCTCCAAATGTTGTTTTTCATTGCTGAGTTGAGTTGTTTTTTGTTGTGGATGTATGACTGTTTTTCCTCTGAATTCTGTTCTGTTAAAATGTATGTGTAGACTCAGTTGACTGTGGTGGATCAGAGTTCGATCAAGAGTGACATTTGATAGTTTAGGTTTTTATAAATTTACAATCTGAACTATTGTGTCAATGTGTCGGGCTTGCATTTGTTTTTTATATTGTACAGTACTTGCATTAATTCTACCTAATTTTACATTGCATGTTTATTCTCCCAGGTTTTAATCGACTTAACAACTGCCAACCTGAATGATGAGCCATATTGGTACCAACTGGATCATCATGACAATGCCAGCATTCCACTTCCAGCCTCTTCCCCACGCTCGGTAAACTGCCGAATGTCTAACAGTTCTTGTCTTATTTCTTGCAGGGTTTTTTTCTGAGTTACATCATGTATGCCAAAAGTTATGCAACAAACATTTGTTTGATATTATGTAATGTTATGATAATAATATTCTAGCCATTTATAGAAGTTATAAATCATGCTAATAAGATAACGTGAGTATTTATGATAATAATAATAATAATAATAATAATAATGATGATAATGTTTATAATGATGATATTGGTAATCATCATCATCATCATCATCGTCATCGTCGTCATCACCATCATCTCATCATCATCATCATCATCATCGTCATCATCATAGTACTATTATGCTCTCGCAGAAAAACCTGACTAACCAAAGCGCATGCCTTAGTGTGCTCTGCTTTTACCCCTTTTGTCTCTTAAATGCACACGGCAGCAAACATATAGGCGTAAACACTCAGTAACTCTGATGCACAGGTCCTATTCCTGACTCGGAGGACCAGAGTTCGAAGGATGTATAAAGTAATCGTGACCTCAGTGCTTAATTCTTGTCATATCTCCATTTTTTTAAACAGTGAAAATGTGACTTCTTCTCAAGCTCACTCTTGGTTGTGAAATGTTTTCACTGTTATTAAAAATGGAGATGCGACAAGAAAGCACTGAGGTCACGAAATGATAATGCTAAAATGTGTGGAATGGTTTATTCAAGAACAAGAAGAAGTGCATCATCATCATCATCATCATCATCATCTGAAAATGCGTGAACATTTAAGTCACATTGGCACAAAACTGATTTTATTTATACAAAATTATCATCATCTTCTGAAAATGCGTGAACATTTTGATCATATCGGCACAAAACTGATTTTATTTATGTACTAAGTTATCAGCCGGTGCAATTTTTTTTTTTCTTTTTTCGTTTTCCAGAAGACCAGCCAAGACCCTTACGACCTCCGCAAGGACCACCTGTCTCCACCTATCAGCACGCGAGGGCTCAGCGACAGTGACATGTCAGAACTGGACTTTGACGACAGTATAGGTGTTGTTCCTGGTGAGTGGAGTGACATTGTCATGTCTTGGGAGGGTCGGTCTCACAGATCAACCAAGAGGTGTCTCAAAAAACAATCTATGTGCCTTTTTTACCTCGTAACTAAATAACTATTTATTACGAAGAGGAGGGGGGGAGGGGAAGGTACCCAAGTGGCGTCAGTAGCATAGTGGTTAGGGTATGGACTCGTAATCATGAGATTGCGGGTCCGGGGGTTTGAGCCTCAGTTCGGTCCGACGTTGTGTCCTTGGGAAAGGCAGTTTTCATGAATTTTCCATTTGGCTCGGTCTTTTCGGAGATGGATGTTAAACTGGGAGGTCCAGCCCCTTAAATAACCTAACCTAAGAGTGTTGAACCTGTACCATTCATAAATTTCACCATTCTTTTTTTCCTATCAGTATCAGTGGGTCAGTCTGTGTGAAGTTAGTTCAACATTGAACAAATCAAACCTCTCTCAATAGACTTTTACTTCAACTAATTATTCTGTGAAGATGTAACCTTCGGTGAGTTCCTTTCAGGGATAGGGTATGAATAAAAGTGAAAAGGTGTTCATATATATGTTTTTTGAGACACCTGTAGGTTTGATCTCTTTATTCAGACGTCTGCACCGCTGGTTTGTCACACGAGTAACAAACATTGTTTGCTTTGCCAATCTCACCAACGTCAGCTTTTTAAGGGTTGTCTTTTTTCCCAGACATTTTCCGTTCCAGGAATACAGACTATTCCGGCGGAAGCTTTACAAAATCTATGTGGCACCCTGAAAACTTTGAACTTCGTTTTTTTAAAAAGCTGTGAGTGTAAGAGTTGACACTTCGTTTTGTTTTTGTTTCGTTGTGTGATTACCGTCCTGTCACTTCACTTTGAGGTTTTTCGCCATGTTTTTTCGCCATGTTGGTTTGTCGGTTCAGTGTTTCGCCGCGTCGGTTCATTGGTTTGGTGTGTCGTCTTGTTGGTTATAAGTGCCGTAATGTTGTTTGGGTTAAGTGCTTTGTCAGTTACATTTTGTTTTGGAGCTTTTTTTTTGTTTTGGTAAAATGTATAGTCCTTTTGGTTACGTGCTTGGCCTGTACGTGTTGACTGTGTTTGTATTTGCAATGAGACGTACGATGAGTATTTAAAGTACCCGCTATCAACAATAATAATAATATAGTAACACTTACTATATTCACCCCTGTTTGTTTCCTCTTCTTTTTTATTTTTTAGTATGAACCAAACGTTAACCACTTTTGAGAGGCTTTTGCAGAGCACGGTTTGGCCTGGTTGTTATTGGATTTTTTAGCGTCATTTAAATGAATTTTTTTTAAACGTTGAAAGTTCAAGAAAAAAATTGTTTTGGCTTTTGGCTGTCTTGAGCGAAAAAGAGATCTTTTTCTCATAAATGAACCACTTGTGTCTTTGGCTTTCAAAGGGCGTCTTTCATGATCTCTTTGGGAGTTGTGATGCCCTGAGCCATAGATTTCAAATTTAACAGAAATGCAAGCACCATACCAGAAGGAACTTTCTAGTGGCACGTAGTGTTCAACTCAGAAGAAACCTGAAATCAATCTTTTGAAAAGTAAAAGCGTGAAAATTTTATTGCACATTTCTTATGCCAAAGATATTGTTGTTTTCTAAACATCAGTAGAACTTCTTAATAAAACATTTTGATCTGTTTACTGTATGCTAAAATGAGTGGAATGGTATATTCAAGAACAAGAAAAAGTGCATCATCATCATCATCACCTTTTTAAAAAATCTGTCTGTAAGTTTAGTAAATTTTAGCATACAAGTATTTACAAACTGGTTTTTATAGATGTCTGCATTTCTTTTAACTTCATAGATAGTAACAGATGGTGAGAGATCAAATCAAAATGTGACTCATAAATGACCAAATTGTGTCAATAGTTCCATGAAACAAATAACCTAAACTTACTTTCTAACTAGTTCAGAGCCTATCAAATAGAAAGAATGACAGTTTGCTGAGAAACAAAATAGTTTTTAAGTCTTGAATGTTCTTGTTTACTTTTGTCTTTTATAGAGGTGTTTTTGTCCCACAATATGCACACACAAGACCGACACATTCTTTTGGATGTAATCCACGTCTATTTTGATCTATGTGGATTTTTCTCAAGCTCCCTGTTACACCAGTGTGTTTCCATGTGTGTGTGCGTGTGCGTGTGCGTGTGTGTGTGCGTTTGTGTGTGTGTGTGTTTGTTGGTTTGTGTGTGCAGTGTGTCACTTCTCAAGATCTGCCTTCATTCACTCCAAAGGTATCGTGTCAGAAAATCTGAAACCGTTGAACAAAAGACAAGATAAAAGAAGTAACTGTAGCGCTAACGTTGTAGAATGTTTTTCTCCATCAATTTTGTCCTAGAATTCAGCTCCTCTTAGTTTTGTTTCACAAACTGGTAATGTCTTTTAAGTGGCTGAGCTACATAAGTGTATTAGTAAAACCTTTTTCAAAAGCATGCTAATGACTCTATCATAGAACAAAAAGTCGTGATAAAGAAGTAATATGTCCATGATAATATTGAAACACTAGATCAGAACATAGAAATTTCATCCCTCAATTTGATATTATACTTTTTTGTTTCTATTGGTGAAAAATTGTCCGAGAGAGATACAGATAAAAAGTTGATTTATATGAACTGAGTATAAGTTCTGGGGTGTTCTTTTTTATCTGCTAGGTTCATAATGTATAATGTAAAAAAAAAACGGAG